CCCCAATTGTCGAGCTTGCTACGGCACTGAAAATTCCAAGAACCAACTTGGACTTGCATGGTCTCATATTACCATTTGCGTTCAAATGTTACTCCACGCCGGGAAAACATGTACAAGTTAATTGTTCACACGTTTTGCAGCAAGCGTTTTGGTTGGACAACTTGTCGACGTTTTACGTGCAACAACGATGACAGTAAATGGCATAGTACAAAATATGGACTGTACTGGACAGTTGTACTGGACTGGATTGGACAGTTGGACTGGGCTGGGCTGGAAAGTTGGACTGAGCTGATTTTTACATTTTCTCTATTCTTGACTTGCACGTGAGCCATGTCAGGTGGCATGGCACAAAAGAGTATTTTATCACAGAATAGATATACCATGTCATGTCTTTTTTCTGATTTTGTCAATGAAAATTGTCTTGGCGTACCAGGAGATTGGCTGCAAGTCAAAAATATAACGTTTTGCACCTGAAATACTTTTCATTTTTGGAAATTGAAATACTTTACCTTCGTCGATGACCTCACTTTTTAACTGAAGTGAAATCTCTTAAAGCGAAAGAAAGCCTAGTAAGTAGAATAGAAATTATAGAATACAATAACAAACAAAAAATACTTATCTGCCGTTGCTATGGGTAGCCTGCTCGCAAACATATTAAATTTCGATATTTCAGTCTGCATAGCCATAGGCGTATGAAGATCGATAATTGGTGGTTGGGGGGGGGGGGTCTGATATTCATATATTCATGTTCACAGACCATAAAAACAATCAATTTCAAAAGAAGTGATCATGAATAATGCAGAACACAAATATATGAATATGAGCCCCCCCCCACCCCCACCCCAATTATCGATCTTCTTACGCCTATGGGTATCAGCAGACTGAAATATCGAAATGTATATATAATGTATATATATAGTATTAATATGTATGGGAGCAGGCTACCCATAGCAACGGCAGATAAGTAGTTATCGTTTGGTATTGTATTCTATTCTAGTTACTAGGCTTTCTTTCGCTTGAAGAGATTTCATTCTAGTTATAAAGTGAGGTCATCGGCGAAGGTAGAGTAATCAGTATTTCAATTTCCGAAAATTAAAAGTAATTCAGGTGCAAAACGTTATATTGGGAACCGCTCATTATTTATGGGAGGGGAATTTTTTCTTTTCTAAATTTTTAAAATTGAAAGCCCCCCTTAAAAGAGCAGAAATATAATGATGACCCCCTGCATATTAGAATAATTTTCTTTGATCCCCCCATTTTCATTTTACTCGTCAAATGGGGCAACTCAGGTGTTATAGTGTTATTCATTAAATACGAATATGGAATTGATAAGATATTAATTAACGTCGACCAAAAATATATATTAGCAAAACATTTTAATTGATTAAAAGAGGAGTATTTTTATATATAAGACTAAAATCAGGTTTCCATTTTGTCTGGGCAATTGTAACCATGTCAAGATAGCTGATGTAATAATACATTGTCAATCAGTAAAGACTGATTTGCAAACAGCATGCACGCACGAAAGACAAGATAAATCCAGACCATTTCACATCAGTGAGCACGATTTACTCGCAACATTTACAACCAAATGGATACCAGGCTTATCATTTATTTATGAAACATTCGTTGAAAGATGGAATGTTCCATTCAACTGGGCTGTCGCCTCGTAACTCGTTGAATGGAACATTCCATCGTTCACCTCATGAAAATATTCTTGTTATAACAGCATAGCCTTAGCCTGATCAACACATGTATTTCAACTAACTCGTAAACAAATTATACAAGCCATTACATAGGTACCTAACTAATTAACATGATAATAACGTCCACTAGACTATTATAACATCTTTCCCTTTTTTTGAAGCTGAGTGTGATCTAATAATAAAACAATAACTATAACCTATAATTTAAATATATAAATAATAAAGGTCGGTGTCCATACTAAATACGATAACTAAATTTAGGACTATATGAACTACGATTAATAGTTAAATAAATGTACGATATGAGTAATTCGTGTTCGTGGCATTACACTTCAGTGTAATCCCGAACCTATTTCAGTACAAAGTCCTTTAGGTAGCTCGGAGGTTTCCGTGCTCTTCCAGATCTTCGTACAGGTTGTGCACCGTTATCTTCTGCAGCAGGTAAACATGTCATTTCCGTTCTTGCTTCATTACTGCCCAATTTTTTAGAAGGGCTCGTTTGCTCTCTAGAGTCGCTCATGTCTAGCGGTGTCGAGTTATCCATAGCTGATCTCTTCTCGATGTCTGGAGATGCTTCGTTGGTGGTATGGTATTGTATGGTAAAACTTTATTTAAACACGCTAGCCTCGATCAAAGTGAGCTGCTTTTCATGAAGGGCAGGGGCGTGGCGACTGGGGGTATTGGAGGGGGGGGGGGGCGCCCCCCCCCCCTAATTCTGAACTTTGAAAAGTTGGTCAAAATTTTTGAAAAGTTGGTCAAAATTTTTGAAAAATTGGTCAAAGGAATTATTTAAATATTAAACGAAATCTTATATTATTTACAAATTTTTCCCGACCTATCGCATTTTTCGCGACATTAAAGTTTTTTCGGATATCACAAATTTTCTCCGTTTATCAAAGAACTTTTTCTAAAATTCTGAACATTTTTTGGATTTTCTAAAGTTTTTGTAAATAATATAAGATTTCGTTTAATATTTAAATAATTCCTTTGACCAACTTTTCAAAAATTTTGACCAACTTTTCAAACATTTTGACCAACTTTTCAAAGTTCAAGGCTCAATGAGGGGGGCGTCAAAAACGTTGGTCATTTTCGTTGAAAAAGTTGGTCATTATGGTATGACGCCCCCCCCCCCCAATCTGGAATCGTTCGCCACGTCCCTGATGAAGGGCGTCACACAATAACTATTTACAAATTAAAGAATATACACATTAAACTATATACAAGTTAAACTATATAGAAAAAACAAGGAAGCAAAGGATAATAGAAAAGGAATTATATAAAAACTTAACAATTGGTGCGATCCAAAGAAGGTGTTCATGCCTGACGTATTTTTCTTTTAAATGAAGAAAGGTTTTCCGAATTTTTTAAATCCTCAGAAAGATGATTTCAATGCATGGCACCACTATATCGAAAAGTTTTCCTTAAAAATTCACTTGGTTTTTCTTAGTTGCACTCTATTCCTCTATTTCAATTCGACAGCTTCCCTGTTGTAATACTTGGCTTGTTGTCTTTTCCGCTCCACTAGTTTCTTTACCGTGGTACCGCTGTCAATCGATTGTGGTTGTAGCAGCTTCGCTGTTGTTTGCAACAAGGTTCTTGCCCGCCTATTCAACAGGCGCTGGGCTGGACTGCTCTTCATGCTCGCGGAGGGGGTATTTCGATGGTCAAGAACCGCCAAAAACGCATCTGACTTTGTTTTCTTCGACTTTCTTAGGATTTTCTTAGCTTCTTTTACAACGCTTTCGGCTTTACCATTCGCTTGACTGTGGTATGGACTACAGGTGACGTGCTCGAAGTCCCATTCCTTAGCAAATATCTGGAAATCGTGTGCCACGAACTGGGGGCCATTGTCCGTTATCACCTGTTCGGGTATGCCGTGTATCGCGAAATGACTCTTGATTTTTCTAATGACGTGTACTGAGGAGATATTATTCAAGTGATCCAGCTCAAAGAAATCACTAAAATAGTCAGCGGTAACTAGATAGTGTTTTCTCTCTAGTTCAAATAAGTCTATTCCTACACGTTGCCAGGGTCAATTTAGCACTTCATGACTACATAAAGTTTCCTTTGGCTGACTTCTCTCATATTCACGACAGGCTTCGCAGGTTGACACATGGTTCTTGATATCGTTGGACATACCGAGCCAGTAAAGGCACTCTCGAGCTCGATTAAGGCAACCATTTATTCCCAGGTGGGAGTTGTAGAGTTTTCCCAGCATCTTGCTTCTAATTGCTTGCGAAATAACCACTTTTTATCCTCTGAACACTAGACTATCTTGGATCGACATCTCGTCTCGGATGTTGAAGTAGGGTGCCACAACATTTGGAAGATCTTCTTTTTGCTCTGGCCACCCCTGCCGAATCACCGTCGTCAAGACTTGGAGGGACACGTCGCTTTTTGTTTCTCGTTGTATTTCCTTTACCGTTCGTCGGAAATTGGCAGGTACTTCATTATGTTGATGGTCTCGAACTCTGGACCACTTTTCCCATCACCGGGGATGCTCGCTCTGGACAACGTATCGGCAAGGAACATGTTGCTTCCTTTCACATACTTCACTTCGATGTCATACTTCTGGAGATGGATCATCATACCCTGCAGTCTCTTGGGCGCTCGGTGAAGAGTTTTCTTCAAAATACTTTCTAGAGGTTTATGATCACTGTAGACGGTAACTTTTCTGCCAAACGTGTAGTCGTTAAGTTTCTCGACCGCATAAACGATGGCCAACATTTCCTTCTCTATCTGAGCATATTTTGTTTCTGTCTCAGATAGTGTTCGGCTGGCATATGCAATAGGATGACCATTCTGCATTAGGGCCACTCCCAAACCAGTCTGCTGCTATCGCATTGGATCTCAAGACTTTCTGATGGCTTATAGTACGCGAGGACTGGGGTCGTTGCGATTAAATGCTTCACTTCATTCCATGCTTTCTCATGTATTTCCAACCAGCACCACGCCAACTCTTTGTGTGTTAGATCACGCAAGGGCTTCATAACCTCCGTCAGGTTGGGTAGGAAACGACTTAGGTAATTCACCATTCCGTTCAAACGTAAGATTTCTTCAGGAGTGGTGGGTCGTGGCATCTACATAATCGCCTTCACTTTACCTGGGTCGACTTTCAAACCTTCATTGGTGCGAAGATAACCATGGACTGAGACCTCTTTACACTTGAACTTCAATTTGTCCTTGGTCAACTTAATGCTCTTTTCTTTACACCGTTCCAGTAGCCTATAGAAGTTTTGGTCGTGGTCTTTCCAGTTCGTACCGTAGACAAGGATGTCATCTGCGATACACCTCACTCCTTCCAGTCTCAGGAGCTCTTGGTTGAGACGTTTCTGGAAAATCTCACTGGACAAGTTTAAACCAAAGGGCAGGCGCAACCACCAGAATCTTCCGTAGGGGGTAGAAAACGTTGTCAGCTTGCTTGACTATTCGTCTAATTCTAGATGCCAAAATGCGGATGCCAGGTCAACCTTGGAAAATACACGAGCCTCTGACAAATCAGGTAGTAAATCATCTATGACAGAAATTTGATATCGCTCTCCCTTAAGGGCTTCGTTCAGTGGCTTTGGATCTATGCATACGCGCAATGCACCAGATTCCTTCATGGCCACGACAATTTGACTCACCCACTCGGTCAGTTCTTTGACAGGTGTGATGACTCCCAAGTCTCTCTAATCGTTGTAACTCGACTTTGAATTGGTCTCTCACTGCCACGGGGATTTTCCGTGCCGGTAGTACGACTGGTTTGTGATTTGGGTCTACTTCTAGATGGACTATTTCTGGCAATCTTCCCAGATATATCGTCGTTGAAAACTTCAGCATGCTTGTCTACCACTTCCATTTTCTTGCAAAACACAGTGCTAATGAAGTTCTCTTTGTGAATCGTCAACAGCCCATCTCCTCTGTGGTCTTCAAACCTAACAATGGAGTTAGGTCATCCTTGACGATCAAGAACTTCACGTCATACTTCTTCTGATTTCTTAAATTAAACACTCGAAGACGCACGTTCCCAAAGATTTCACTTTAGTACCGTTCCACATGACTAGTGTTCTATCACATGGAGAAATCTTTTCCTTTTCCACATAATTGCATGGAAGTATGTTCGCGCTGGCGCCACAGTCGACTTGGAAAAATACATGAACGTCGTTGATCAACATCTTCGCAAATACAGCTTTCTCTTTCATAGCTTGGATTCTTTCTTTTGCACTTGTTGCAGGTTTTTCCCCAGGCTGGACACTTTCGCTAATCAGGCAAGTGCTCAAAGCCCCAAAATTTACACGCGGCACGTTACAATTATTATTCAAGATATTTATTCTCAATGCGCATATATTACGATTATTGCTGTGAAGATCTCGTTTTCTCAAAGGTATGTTTTGATAACTTTTTTGTTTACTAATTTAATAAAAAAAGTTTTGAATAATTTTGTATATATATCGCATTTTACTTATGTTAAATTCTCATTGTATTTATGCATGTTTTGGGTCAAATAAATGAACATGACCTTCAAAGTGGCATTGAAATATTCACGAGTAAATTGTACTTTTTTACAAGGAAACTAAAAGAAAATCACATGAGTGAATTCTGGAATGTTTACTCTTGATAACGATACTTTAAAACATGAATTTACTCCATAAAACCGAAGAATTATCGCGGTTTGAAAATGAGATATTTTTGCTATATACAAAATTATTCAAATCTTCTTTTATTAATAAATTGCTAAACAAAAAAAGTTGCCAAAACATACCTTTGAGAAAACGAGATCTTCACAGCAAAAATCGCAATATATTTCAACAGTTTTTAATCCAACGGCGCGTTGAGAATAAATATCTTGAATAACAATGAGACGCAATGATTTGCGCGTTGCATTTCGGGAAGACCCTCATTCCTCCTCTGACTACGAAGATAGAGGGTCTCTCGGGGATCAATTTGATACCAATATTGCCATGGTAACGCAAAATATTTTGCCGCTGACGAGCTTCTTATTCGAGGTTTTTGATAGCCTGCGTAGGAGGCGTTTATTGCGGGCAGGAGAAGAGAGGGCGTCGTTAAATAAACACCTGCTCAAATGCCTATCACAAATGTGTTTTTGACCGAAGAAACTTCGGAAAAGCTTCCCATCGGTCAATCTCGTTAACGGAAGCAATTGCGTAACTCAAATGTCAACAACAATTTTGCTCGGGTATCGAAAATATGTCTCCTGTTAATGCTTTCGAGGAAACTCTTTCTTATATTTCAAGTATTTAGGCTTCGAAATCCAGTTGAAACAAGAACAGAGAAAGTCTATTATTAATTTGCTACGTAATATAGCGAGATCGGAGGAATGAAACCCTTATGACATCTACAAATCCTACAGAATAAAGCAGCACGTATAATCCTGGACCTGTACTATAGATCGTCAGCCATGCAGTACTAGTACTGCTTTGAAGAAATTGAATTGGAAGACCTAAAGACCAGAAGCATTATTAATGATTTGTTATTTACTTATAAATGTAAGAATAATCTTTTTTCATATAACTTTGAAATCACACATCACCATTGTATGCATGTTTATAACTCTAGGTCAAAGTGATTACGCAGAACAGCGACGAAACATAAACTGGGGACACTGGACACTGGGCAACGATTAACTTTGCCAGCAATAACTGGAATGAATTGCCCCAAGAAACACATCAAGCAAAGACCTACAAACCTTTAAAATTCTACCGAAATAGCTTATTTCTTAGTCTAGTTTCTATATTGTATTACTAATATATTTAATCATCCTTGTAAGTTTTCCATAATTTAGCAGGGCACTACTGAAAAACACATATTGTGACGCAGGTATCCTGAATAAAATTTGCTTTATTTATTTCTATATGATAATACTACAGTGGTCTATTCGTAGTCAAAACACTAACTGAATATATGTTGATGTTCTTTGGTTTATATGAGTTTACATAGTTATAGTAAATATTACCAAGTAATATCCTGTCGAAACATAACACGTATATACTATGACTATATTGACGTATTGATTATACTACAATCCTGTCGTTTAATAAGTATTTTTAGTTTGTCTACCATACACATCCAGAACTCCTCTTGATTCCTCTTGATAGTATGTATAATTTTTTTGTTTTACATTGAGATTTACCAGTCTCAATAATTGTGTATGATTTTACATTATATAATAACTACAGTGAAACAAGCAATTTGATTGGTCAATAGCCGTGCAGGATCAGGCTATCCTGCACGACGAGGAATTAAAATGCCCTCGCAGGACTCTTAAAATGTCATTATTTCACCTACCTCCTCCGCAGGCCCTTTTCCGGGCACATTTGCGGGCGGTGCTAATTTGCGGGGCACTTTTAGAAACGTAAAGCGAAAGACGAAGGACCTGCCATATAACGTGTCGAAAATCGGGAATATGTGTCGAAAATCGGGAATCAAAAAATACTTTTGAAATTTCGTCCATCATTAGTGAAATTAATTTCTCACGTAAGCTGGGTTAATCCTGGACTTGCTGACAAAAAATCAAATGGAAATACGTCAAATAAAGAAATAAATCGATATACGGCCGGCGTCATATTTATACGAAAATGTCGAAAATCGGGAATATGTGTCGAAAATCGGAAATCCAAAACAACCCCTTTGAAATTTCGTCCATCATTAGTTCAAATTAATTTCTCACGTAAGCTGGGTTAATTTTGGACTTGCTGACAAAAAAATCAAATGGAAATACGGCAAATAAAGAAAGAAATCGATATACGGCCGGCGTCATATTTAGACGAGAATGCAAAAAATACAGAGAAATATAAGTTTAAAGTGCACCAAGATCTGCTGTTCAACCACATCCGACATGACGTCGTTTATCTTCTGATTTGTTTCGAATTACATTCTGAAGAAATTTGATCCGCTGAAACATGAAACTGTATTTTTGGTCGTATGTTGTGCTCGTCGTTCGACGGCAGCGATGTGGATATTCTCAATATATATAGTTTTCTGAAATGGAACTTGTATGTAGATTTTTGTGGTAATGGAGATTCTACTGTTTTCTACATGCAGACATTGTGTTATTATCACTCAAAAGACAAAGAACAAGCCGAACAATGAGACGCTATATTACTTCCTATTTACATAATTACATTGACTGTAAATGTCAAATTATATTTGCATATTAAAAATATAATAGCATATTTATCTTTCAAATTGTGCTTTCAATTTTCATGCAGACTGATATTTGAATGATATTTGAATCTTATCTAACGTATTTGGAATGGCTTATCATAGGCTTAGTAGCAAAATATGTAGAAAGCAGATATAATATTATAAAACAGTCTCCATCGTTATAGAAAAGCGGCAGCAGGCTAGTTATAAGTACTTTTTAGTCTACCAAGACCACTGGATGCTATTTCTAAATATTATTTAAATCTATTAGATCAGGGCTGGTATGTATATTGTATATTAAGTCATAATAGTAATTAGTAAAGCCAAAATGAAAATTTCGATTTATGGCACTCGCCATCTTGAAAACATTACTCGGCAGGCGCTCTCGCCTTTAACCCGCATTTTCCGAACCTGCCCGAAATGCTCCCTAAGCGCCTGTGGAGGAGGTAGCTATTTCACTGTAGTTATTTTATAACACAATTACCAAATGGTTTTCCAAGCAGGATAGCGTTTTTCAAGCACTTGGCATGTTGCTCGACTTTTGGAAAGCGTAAGAATACACCTGCGGCTCGAGTAATTTCACGCTTTCCGAAAGTCTCGCGACATCCCTCGTGCATAGATCACGCGATCCTGCACGGAAAACCAATCGGTATTTCTTTAATGTTAGATTGACAATGAAAGAAAAAGGAAATTGAAGCACTGTGAAAAAATAAAAGTATCTATAACACAGTGGTGTGATCATAAAAATTAGAGTTATCTTCTGAGATGTTTCCACTTGGTGTATCTGCCGCCATGTTAACCATGGCATTCTCTGCAGTTTCCACGTTTTCTAAAGGTTCGTCATAGTAAGGTAGAAATGGAACAAATTTTGAAAATTTCCATTTTTTTCCAACACCGAATGGTAGGTCATAAACATGAACAGAAGCAACATTCTTTACAGCTTGACCAGTGGCAAGATTACGCCATTTCTTAATTCCTCTTTCTTCTTGTGTTCCGGGAATGAGGTTGTCAAGGAGGCAAGCAATTATTCCACCAACAGCCATACTGGTCTTCAACAGCACAGTGAATATTTGGTCTAATTCATCAACACCTATATAAAAACACATTGAAAGTAAATAATAACATATAAGTGATATTCTTTTGCTTTTTCTTTATTCGAAGCATCTATTAAGCGAACTTGGCGAACTAAGACAGACTTCGTTGAGTCCCTTTAGGATTTTCCTTCATTAATCAGTTCAGAAAACTTGATTATTGTGAAATTCCTAAGATCTTAGGCTCAGTATTAGATAGATTACCAGTGTCGATGACTCGTTCATTCTTTCCAAGATAATCAGGAATGACCAATCCCATTATGATAGCAAAACCAATAATAAAGAGATTTCGAACAGAATTAAGATCAACAAATTGCAAGTTAGAGATTCCCACTGCTGTTATTAAACCAAACATACAGCAGAAGACT